GCGTCGATTCCGAGTTTCTTTGCGCACACAATTAGCACGAAGAAAATTATTCCCGTTTTCTAATTTTTACTTTGTAAATTGTGTTTTTTTTTTTTCACTTGCAGATCAACGTTATATTTTACCGCGCTGTTTATCCAGTAATTAATAGGAATTTTAATAGCGTTTAATTAATCAAGATTTTCAAGGGTTTTTCAATTTTATCAAGGTTTTCCAACAAGTAAAATACACGCGAGATAAATTTCTAATAAAATCATGCATTGAAGAAATATGACGATATGTGGTTGAGCGAGTTGAAACACCTCGCGAGATTAACATCTCGCGCAGTCGGGAGAGCAGCATATAACCCTGCCTTAATTTATATTCGCGTTGAGTTTTCGAGGTCTCTTCGTCGATCTGATCGCCGTTCACGCCTACGGAACTATTCTAGTTACGACACTGAAATACAAGTACGACATAACGGCGAACATTACCGCGTGGACGACAAAGAGACTTTAGGATTAAATTGCATATCCCGAGGCTACTCGTAGAATTTTAGTGTTCCGTAACGGATAGACAAAGAGAAAGAGAGAGTGATTTTATCTCAATCGCTGCGCAAAAGTCTATAATTGATCAGAAATTATGTAATGATGGCGGAAAATAATTGCTGTAATAGAAAAAAATGAATGGATGTCAAATAAAGTTTTATATCGAAGTAAAATTTTCTTTGACATTTTGAAAAAAGAAAATATCTATTTGAAACGCTTAAAATATCTCTGCTGAAAAAGAATGTTTAATTACGTTTTACATCCTCTCTTTATAATTATCTATTACAATAACCGTGAATTTATCATACAACATATTAATTGTATTTTATTTTCAATAGAATATATAACTTCTTAGTCTTATTTGGTTTTTCCTACTTTCATCATCAATGAAAATTATATTATTTATATATTATATAATATTAATTGCAAATTATATAAAAATAAATAAAAAATATTAAGATAAGATATTACAAAAGAAAAAGAGTGGCTTTGATCAAGATATAATCATACAAAATATCATTGTCTTCATTTAATTATTTTCCTAAATAAATATATTATGCAATTTACCTCGTTTTCCTTTCTCTCACACGCCGCAAATTGATGTGTATCTCACGTGGCTTTATTATAGCGCACATAACATCGCAGGTACTCGTTACGGTATTCCTCGTTGCTCTCTATCTCATCTAGGCGTATCCGAGAGCTGCCTCCTCCAACTCGTGCACCACAGTTATATTCATCCCGGAGATTATTATCCGATTTATATTGCGCAAACCCCGCTAATAAATTATGCCTGCGCGACTCGTTTAAATGCACGGTACTGCGGCGAAATGCACGATACTTCGCCTTTCACCTTGCTACGATAATGCATTCTGTTCTGATGCATTGTACTCGGTTAGGATAACTGCTGTCGTATCGTTGCAGTATCTTGGGCTACAATTACACGGAAACGAGTGTCAAAAATCGGCCGCTGAAAACGTCAAGATTTCCCGCGATTAATGAAGAGCGCGGCGCTATGTAGCTCATAAAGTTTTTATCGCTAGGAAAATATTTGCAATTATGCGAGCTGAAAGAATAGAATTATATAAAAGAACATATAATTAAATACATACAATGAAATTTTGTTATCTACTACGATAAGAGTAAGATTTATATCGCAGATACAAATACGAGGAGCGATGCCTGAATAAATTATTTATTAAAATCTTAGCCATAAAAGTAACACCGCATAGATAAAAATATCTGAGAAAAAAAATTAAAATATAAATCTTATTCTGTTTTGGTTGCTTTTACGGAGCGTAGAAGACAATACGAAAGTATGTCTTCGCTTCCTTCAAGATTTTTGATATTTGTGTTAGCTTGATTTTGCGAAAAATTTCCACATACGCATATAAACTATATCAGAAATATATTAGTTTGTGATATCTTAAATGTGTAAAAACTATCTTGTTCTATCAGAAAATATGACAACGGAAACTATAGAGCAGAAAAATATGTATTATATGTAAAAAAAAATTATATCTTTTAACTTTGCTCACGTGAATTACTCAATTCATTGTTGATTTTCAGAAACGGTTCGATCTTGGGACAAACTCTCACAGTTGATACCAACAAATTTGGTCTATGAAAAACAAGATCGAAATGCATCGCCGTCCGGTAATGAGGCCGATGCATCGGTGGCGCATTCGCTGGACGAGAACCACGTGATGGACACATCGAAATCAAAGGGGGTAAGCGATCACGTGGAGGAAGAGGAGAAGGAACCTAAACTAACATACGACGCCGAAGAATACGAAGATGAAAATAAGCACGAAGAGGAAGAGGTCGAGGAGGAAAAAGAGGAAGGGGAAAGAGATTCCTCTAATATCGATAATAGCGCAACGAAGAAAGAAAGATCTCCGGCGGAAACCAGCAGCATATTGAATACTGAGGCGAGGGACAATTCTAGGGATGAAGATTACCTCGAAGATCCCCCGACGAATCAGTACGACAATACATATTATTATTACGATGAGTACGAAAACGGAAATCATTCTCGATATGAGCCTGCAGGTGAGTTTAAGTAACTAAAAAAAGGAAAAATTGATTAGTTCTCTTATAATATCAAAAGAAAAAAAATCCGATAACTTTTCTTGCTATGAATAAATTTGACATCTTTTAAATTGAGATATATTTGATTTATTATAGATGTAAATCTCTATACTTTAAAACGTAATACCGTATTATCCTTTATCTATTTCTTTTCTTTAGACGGAGAAAACCTCGATTACCCAGACGCAGAATCCGAAGAAGAAGACATCACGCCGGAGAATTTGCCAGAATCAGCGCTAGAGAAAGAAGACGAAGGTGTCTCGCACGAATCATCTACCAACTCATCATTAATCGAAAGAGAAGTTGACGATACGGTTTCGCCGATGGATGCGGAACAAGGCTCGTCCATGGAGGGCAGCGATAAAACATTCGCCGTTCTCAGCTCGTCCGAAGAAAAGTCTAACGACAATGTCCCCATCGAGGCGAGTTCCATTCTGATAGGCGGTGCTGTGGTATCCGTAGTGACCACAAAAAGTGTGGTGAACGGCACAATATCGGTGCCAACGACGGCCTCACCGACCACCACGGAGCAAGTCGCGCCGCCGTCGCCTTCGTTGGCCGAAACAACGGAACAATACCTAGAAATAACCACTGAGGACTCCAGGATTCTCGCCTCCGTGCAGACTAGCCGCAGCATATCGGGTGCGCGCTTTTTACCATTTCCGGTAATAGATCACGTGGAACAGATAGAGGCGCACAACGAATCGCCCGAGAGCAAGAAAACGTCTCAGCCTCCGTCCGAATCTACGGAGAGCATCATCGACAAACTCGACTGGGCTCAGTCTAAGCTGTCAAGCGATCTCTTGCCGGCCGCCATACTCGGCACCGGTGGTTTCCGGAATGCCGGCAATACGTTACAATTGGACGTGCTGGCTGAGAGAGATCGCACGACAACTCGCAGGAGTTTTACTACTACAATCAAAACGCCAGTTATTAGCAAGTTTGTACCTCGACGTTACAATGATAAAAGATTAGACCACGCTGGCACTACTAGCACGACGAAGCCGCGATTTGAGACCACGGTCGATAATCTCGAAGGTTTGCTACCTCGGAATTACGTATCGAGAGGAACTGCACCGAGCACAGGACTTCCCAAGATAAATTTCAGGTTGGATATATTGCATTTTTTTATCAGACATATTAAATAATAGCTAGAGATTCAACAATAAGTTTGCTGAGATATAAATTTATAAATTATCAATCACACACGCGAGAAAAAAAGAAAAATTATATCTATAGATTATATTAATGAATCACAAGATTATAATTGAAAGTTATGCATCGATAATAATTACTGTCATTTTTTTTCAGGTGGCCTTCCTCAAAACCGGTAACGGCCACGGAAATAACAGAGACGAAGGCCACGTCGACCACACCACGAACAAAATCTAAAACCAATATTGTCATTCAAGATATTAGCGCATTCTTACCACCAGGATACAAATTGAAAAAAGAAGACACAGCTGTTACAGAAAGTTCACTTTTAAGTGACATTCTCGCCAAATCCAAAGTTGACATTTCATCTCTCTTACCAACTGACTATGATAAGAAGAAGATCGAAGAAGAATCCAAGTCGAAGGGTATTACAATCACAACGACGACGTCGACGACGTCAACAACAGCGAAGAGTACAAACACTTCCCCGGAAAAGATTGTCTCTTCTATTCAAGATCTCCTTGCATCTTCCAAAGTCGATCTCTCCGCCTTGTTACCTAAGGATTACGAACAAAAGAAAAAGGATCTTACCTTAGATAGCAAAACTGGCGATACAAATAGCAAACAGAATGCAACGGTCACAGAACGGATCGATTCTGAGTCACCTACCACGAAGAAAGCCGGTGGCTTAAAGATTGTGTTTCCTAGTAGACCAGGCGGTCGCAAGCCTATCCACAAAACAACTACTCCACACATTCCACGTGGAGATGGTCCAGGCGCGGTGACGCTAAAAATACAGAAGGGATGGCCGACTAGGTAAATCAATGTTTTATAATTTCCTATCTCTTTGTTACATTTTTAGTATATTTAAAAAATTAAAAAAGTGATGTTGCACTTTTTTACTTATCTATTTATTGCAAGCTATAATTTCAATCACGTTCTATATCTTTTGATAATAATTCGCATCAAAAACTACTATAAAATAACACAGTATTCAATGCATATATTGTGGTATCAACATCTTGAATAATCATTAAATCATATAATCACTGTCGATAAATTTCAGAGCTACTACTGAGTTCACCGGATGGCCAACTCCGTCCACCACGCCGATCTCCATCGAGAAATTGCTGGAAGCTGCACGCACAGCTACGGTAGCGTCGGTGAATATGTCACTTATTCCCAGTACAAACGAGATCTCAAGCACATCGTCGACATCGACAACGACGACGACGACACTGAGACCGACAACTCCCGGTGTATGCGATGATGAATGCGAGGTCGCCGGCACGGTACGCATCATCGGAAACGCAACATGGGTACCAGAACTGTTCGATAGGAACACTCGTGAGTGGCAGGAGCTTGCGAATCAAGTGGAACAAGAGGTCTTTTGATAAACTTTTATTACTCTCATGAAATACTCGCTAAATTTTTAATTTATTAAATCACCTTTTTTCAGGTGGATTTTATATTTTCAAAGTCCAGTGTTTTAATGAATTGGTATAAAAATATAAGGATCGACTCCTTCAGGTAATTAATTTTATAGATGTTGTTTGAAATAGTGGTACTGAAAAAATGATTAGAATACATCTAATATGTATATAACACTTTGATTACACAAATAGTGGCATTTTCATATTAAAACTTTTGGCGCATATTACATCTTGAACATCATTGCTATAAATTAAACTGTATTACACGAGACATAATAAAAAATATAATGGTCGTTTTCAGTCAAGGTAGCATCCTGGTAGACTACTTTGTCGAATTAGCCAATTTACAGCAAAAAGTGAACACGCAGGAGCTGAAAGTGATTTTCCACGATTCGCTCAGGACGTACAACGCCAATCGGTGGAATGAAACAAATACGAAGGGTGCATTAAGGATGGGAATCTTTACTATTGATCCTAGGTACACCGATTTCGTAGGTACGCTATTACGCTCATAAGTTTTTTAAAAAATATTCTTGTTTCATAAATGTTTGTTATACATGCATTATTATACTTCCTCAGTGATACCTAAGGCGATTACACCACAGTATATCGAGAAAGACTATAAGTTAATACCTCAGTGGGCCATCGCCGTGATAGTGATAGGCGTCGGAGGTTTATTATTCATTATCGTGTTTGGTGTATCTGTGGTAATTTGATCAAAACTATTTGAAGCTTTATGTTGTCGGAAATAGAACTAATGAATGAAATTATTTTCAGCTTGTCAATAGACAAAACAGATCCAAATTGAAACCGACCATGTCTACTATTTACGATGAAGAGATAGTTAAACACACGTCGAGTCACAGATCGAGCGATTACTCGAAACCGGTACACACAATATGGACCGATCCCGACGTCTCTTGGAACGATAAGTCTTTCGAGTCGACTTCTAACAAGGTAAAAGTGCGCGTAGACACACGTTATGGACTAATTTCACATGTAGCCGCGTGATACCTTTATACCGAGCCTGTTGCTTTTCAGATTCTGGTTGATAAATCTTTCCAGGACAACAAAAAGTACAATCTATACGATAGTTGGCGATCCGAATGGAACGGTTATTATTACAACCCTTCGCATACGAGCAGCAAGTATGGTTATGACAGTACCACGAACTTATCGAGCCGTCACCATCCCGATTATGATACGAACTTTTAAATTTGACGGCAATAAAACTGCAACATTTTCTATCAATACAAATTTCATTTAATTTATTCGGCGTCTCGGATAAGCACAGTGTGTTACGAGATCCTGAAATATATATATTGTTCTTCTAATAATGTACATATCACAATATCTTGATACAAAATTCAATACTACATTTTCGTGTAAAACATTTTAAATATATGAATTTGTTATTTTGTATTCATATATATATTGTTCTTCTAATAATGTACATATCACAATATCTTGATACAAAATTCAATACTACATTTTCGTGTAAAACATTTTAAATATATGAATTTGTTATTTTGTATTCATATATATATATA